TGTGTTCGAAGATATATATATATATATATATTTGGGAGTACTGTAGCCATGCAGCACCTACACACTAACTGCCCCTGACCGATAAAAAATTGTATTAAACTATAAAAGAAAATTTTATTAAACTTTTCCTAATATTTCTTAATTTGCCCCATCGACATGCAAAACTTCGATGTTTATTAATTTTAAAACACGGGAAACCTAAACTAACCATAATCTAACCATCAAAACGTTTCTTTTTTAAGTTTACCTAGGGATCCATTAAAAGTTAGGTTATGATTGGCTTAGGTTGCCTTCTTTCTCTCCAATTACAAAGTTAAAAGTAGTGGGAAAAGATACTTTGATAACGTATTTCCTTGTTTCGATGAAATGTTTCATTAAAATTCTTGAACAATCAATTTATTAAACCTAAAAGATACAGTTGGGCGAAAAATCGTACGAAGAGCAATTTTTTAATTTATTACGCCTTAAAAAAAGTCGATTTGACAGAAGTAAAAATTTCCCCTCGCCTTAATAGATTTCACTTCTAAATTCATTCCTGTTATTAAAATGTAAGTGTTATACTCAATCGGTACCCATCTGTCCTTTGGTCTTATTAAAAAAAAATTGGCTATTAAAATAACAAAGGCAATAGATGTATAACATTATTAATTAATATTGTCTATGAAAAAGCGGGTATATATGTTTATAATTAATACTTACAATTGCTTGCTCTGCTCTGTTTCTTCAAACTTTTGTTGAGTCAACAATTGTTTCAATTGTTCAAAAACTTCACTATTGTCTCCCTCTGAAAACCTAAGTCTGTCTTTTATTAAGCTTATTAATTTATTATCTGATACTTCAGTTTCATTATAGTGACTAAACATATTAACCAGTTTTTCATTTTGAATAGCTTTATCTAAAGCATCTTCATGTTGCGTATTCTATAACGAAATAGTAAAAGATTATTACTAACAAAAAAATTATCCAATATTTATATAATAATGTATAGTAAAATACAAGTGGTTTGGAGTGGAGAGTTCCTTTAAATGGGTTCGGAAATATTTTAATCATTAATCTCCCATTGAGTTTTT